TCTGAAATTGTTTGCAATTGTTTGAAAATCATAAAATATATTCTAGTTAGGATAATTTGTTTGTAAGTAACAAAAATGTATTCAAAGTATTATTTACTAAAAGGAAAAGGTGTGCCTTATGAAACGCAAAGGAAGGAACTGCAGCTGAGCTTCACGGGGACAATATTTACATTTTCTAGGATCACATGTTCTCACACTTACATTTCTTCGAGTCCTTACCTCATTCTTTTTTCTCTCTACAGAAGCATTCTCTGCTTCTCCCTGCATGCAGCTTAAGCAAGCTTCACATTCTATTTAACTAGTATGTCTGAGTCCCACTCCCCAATCTTGGCACATGAAATTTGACTGACCCATACCCAATCCTGACCTATCACCTTTGTCCAAGGGGCAGAATCATGAGATCTGAAACCAGCTCAGTGGGTCCTACAGGACTAAATTTTCTGAGATCAGGCTGGACAGATTTTCTTCAAGAAAGCATAGAGCCAGGAAAAAAAGGGAGTAGAAAAAATGACCTGCATTTTAACAAGATGCAATAGCTGATTAAATATTAAAGAAATACTTCTTTTAAAAAACTATATAATTCATGTCTTTATTTTATTTCCTCTCTCCTCTCTTTCTGGAGATTGTAAATCTCACAAAGTCAGGGTTTCTCTTCTGTTTTGTTCACTGCTCAAGTGCCTAGAATAGTCCTTGCAGTAAATATTTGCAAAATTAGTGAATAAAAACCTTTGGATAATGACAACAGTGGTAATTACAGTGAATGTGATGAAAAGATAAAAGAATAAGTGACTGCATGAACAAGGGAAGTTATGATTTCTGTGAATAGAAGCATTTCTTATAATTTTTAGTTCTTCTTAACACTCATTTTCTTTTCTATTCAACCATTATTACTGTGAGCTGAAGTTCTTAAAAGAACTAACCAAAAGTATTCATCTTTGAGTCTTAAGTCCCAGTATAATGCTGGGTACATAATCAGTAAATATTTGTGAATTGAGTGAAATAGATGAATCAAGATACTGTTGCTCCTATGGCACTTTGAAGACTGCTTTGCAAGCCATAAAATGCTACCCAAATATTAAATTGTGATTTTCATTATAGTAGCGCTTTAGAAAAAGAACCTTAGTAACAGTATTTAAGATACTAAGGACAACTGGAGGAGAAGGAAGAAACTAGAAAGCTGACCCAAGAGTCTAGGTAGGATTCACGACCTCAATCATCTTTTTTTTTATTGTCTTTTCCCACAAATCTCTAAATTAGAATCCAATCTAGGTTTCTCTATAATCCTAGAAGGAACAAAACTTGCAGAGGATTGGCTTTATTGGCTCAAACCAGATTTCTATTGCTATGTTAGACCAATTTTTGATTTCGAGACTAAATAGTTCATTTTCTTTCATTCAAAAGAGTTTGTTCCAAGAGCTTATTCCATTTAATATCATAATTATGCACTGTTCAACAATTCAAAAACACTTAAATAAAACCAGTTCTTAGAGCATTTTGCTACAGGAAAGATTGTTACTTCTTACTGCCAAACACATGAGAATCCACATAATGGAATTTAGCTAAGGGTACATTTGTAGGGGCATATTCAGCCATTTTCTGACAAACTCTTTGTGTGTCGACAACTCAATTCAACCAATATTGATTTAACTTTTATGTTTATCAAATATAAAGATTAATATTATACAGGCGCAGTATAAAGGAACTTTTACTCTGTTATGTGGACTAAGTGAGTAATAATAAAGCACACAATGATCATAATATCTGGTAATAGTAGGTGAGTTCCATATGAAAGGTAAAAAGAGATTCATACATTTAAATGCTGGAGGAATTATGTAGTATCTGATCTAATGTGTAAAAGTGATTGTGAAATATAGAAAAGACATAAAAAGGAAATACATTTGGAATGGCCCCTGAAGAAGAGATACACAATACACTACATTTGGAATTGAGGAAGAAAAAGTTTCAAGGGAAAAATACAATAGCAGGAGAAACTATAGCCCATTTTGTGGATCAGCAAGTTGTCCAATTTGGCTAGATGGTGGACTATACAAAAGGAAGGAGAGAAAATAAGTCTAAAGGATAATATAGAACAAAGTTGCTGAGGGTTTCAAATATTAGGGACAAACTCTGTAGGGACAAACTCTTGGTGGTTTCCTTAAAAAAATAACACTGAGATTTTGAATAGGATTGTGCCACTGAGAGGTGAACTCTAGAATACCCCTGCAGAGTAGATAAGAAGAAATTACAGGAGGAGTTCTAAAGCTCAGAGACCAGGTAAGCCACTGATGCAATCTTCAAGGTATGGTTTCATAAGGGCTGGAAATGGAGCCATAGACATGATGGCAAGGTGGAAAAATGAGGAATGCTCAGATGAGATGCTTCAAAGATAATAGCTAAATAAAATATAAAATTGCTTCATATATTTACCATCTAAAAGGATAGGAGGAGTTGAGGAGTGAGGATGTGATCTCTGTGATGTGGTGTTTCTATTATCCGTCTGAACATTAGAATACTAAGACAGGTGGACCAGGAAGCAATCGATACAAAGGTGATCAACAAAGCCATGGAAGTAGAGAAAATTACAAATGAAAGGGGCTAAGAATAAAATCCTAGATGGACATAGGAAGAGAATCACAGAGGCAGGCAGAAGAGGAATTGCCTAAGTGTTCAGAGAAATACATGTATTATATTTTGTCCAGGAAGCCTGCAGTGGATTGAGGTCATTCAGTCTGGCAATTAGGTAGGAGGTTAATGGTGGCCATTCAAAGAATAGTTGTGTAAGCTGCTCTTATTTATCACATAGGTTTCAGAATGAAGTGAATGAGAAGTAGATGGCAAAACATTAAACGCAGTCAATTTAGATTATCTTTCTAGTAATTTTAGTAGTAAAGAGAAGACATAAAGAACATGGAAGACTGAGATCCAAAGTACCTTTTTTTCTCCATATTTGAGAGTTTTGATCTATGATTCCCCAAGTGAAATAGTTCAATCTGCCATTTCAATTTATCTACTCACATATTGACTGACAAAGCACACTCTGAAGAGTTTTTGAAATAGATGGGGTCATTAGCCTTAGCTTTAATAAGAAATTATAGTACTTTTGCTATAATGATAAGTTGGCATGTGAATATTTAGCATGTGAAAAAACCTTCTGAGAACAGCTTCCATTGTTCATTATCTCATATTTGTGGTTATTTTCTTGGCAGAAATACCATTTGTCTACAAATCTATTATTATTAAAAGAGGAATAATGGTTTTAAACAGAATACATATTCTCCTTCTGCTAAAATGATAATTGCTCCATCTTAACTCTCCATGTCCTGACCTGAATTTTCTTCTGCACCCTTCTGTTTCTTTACAATTATAGGCTTTCTACTGGTCTGTCAGTAGCAACTATCTACCTTATGAAAGTAGGAGAATTTGTGTGAGAAGGTATTCGGTGTCACCAGCCAAAACTTTAGAAGGCCTGCAGTTGCAGAAGCAACTCAGGCAGTAAATTTCATGGCAGACTTTGATTTTCAGCAGCACACATCTAAATATTGTTTAAAGAACACCTATATTCTTTGCATGCAGAGAGTCAGACCTGAGCACAACTACACACAAGTATTCACTTCCTAGCTCTGAAACGAATCACCTACTCATCAGTCCCAAGTAGACTACTTCTACTTCCCAAAGCCACTGGACATTGTGTTGTATGTATCAGCCAGAAATATCTTCCTCTGGGTTGCAACTATTCCTATAAAGGGCCATGCAGTAAATATTTTAAGCTTTTCAGGCTAGTCTGTTGCCAGCACTTAACTCTACCACCATAGTGCAAAAGCAGCCACAAACAATGGCCAATTATATGACTTTATTCCTATACAATGTTATTTACAAAAACAGGCACATACATGCCATGGAATACTATGCAGTCATAAAAAAGGATGAGTTCATATCCTTTGCAGGGACATGGATGAAGCTGGAAACCATCATTCTCAGCAAACTGACACAAGAACAGAAAACCAAACACTGCATGTTCTCACTCATAAGTGGGTGTTGAACAATGAGAATATATGGAAACAGTGAGGTAAATATCACATACCAAGTCCTGTTGTGGGGTAGGGGAACTAGGGGAGGGATAGCAGGGGGTGGGGAGTTTGGGGAGGGATAATATTAGGAGAAATACCTAATGTAGATGACAGGGGGATGGACGCAGCAAACCACCATGGCACGTGTATACGTATGTAACAAACCTGCACATTCTTCACATGTATCCCAGAACTTAAAGTATAATAAAAAAAAAATTTAAGTTATCTGAGGAATATTTGTTTTAGTTGTTTTTTACTGCTTTGAAAAAAGTTTGAAAAACACTTATTTTACAAATGAGGAACCAGTGTTCCAAATAGGTAAAATGATTTATTGAAGCTCACATAGCTGGTAGCTGCTTAGTGCAGAAACAAGACTAGAATATGTATCCACATTCTAAGTTACTATAGTTTTCTCTTTTCTATTGCACTATTTTGTTCTGCTTAACCTTATGATAAAATCCATTTTAGTCAATCTCAAGTTATATTGCAACCATTTCAGAGAAGCATAATCATCATCACATACAAAGAGCTCATTTGATCATTATTATTTTAAATCTTTCCAAATTAAATTTTTGTTTTTGATGGCATATAAAAATACTTTATTTTCTACAATAAACTTGGGTTGAGAAATCTTACTAAATTCATTTATTAATTCTAATGTTTGTCTGTAGATTCTTTTAAACTTTCTACATACACAATCATATTGTCTACAAATAACATCTATTAGTTACCAATAAATATTCTATATAAAAAAATCAGAATCTATACATTCCTAAGGGGGACATCAATTTTAAGCAATTAAACTAAAGGATTCATTAAAATGGAAACAGAGATTTCTGTGCAGTAGCCTTTGAATTGAAAAATCACTGAAAATTCAGGATTCTTTGTAACATCCAACACACAGTTGCAGGATTACTGCTGATTGGTATAACCATTTGCAAAGTTCAAGGTTCACAGAATGTTTATTTTGGCAACACTATAGATGTTTCTAGGCCTCTGAGATATGAGAGCATTACCTTGCATTAGCTAGCAATAAGAAAAGAAGCTTTGTTTGGATTAACATATATACTCTCTTCATTGTGCGTATCCATTTTTCCTCAATAATTTGCAGGTTAGGTCCCAGGACACTACAAATGCTGCTTAAAGGTGAGTAATATGATGATTTCATTTTCAATCTTAATATCTCAAAATTGTTAATCATGTTTCCAATGAAATTACTGTTTCATGCATAAAAATACATGACTATAATCATTTCTTTGTCTTTCTTTTTTGTAATCGCTTTGTTTACATCTCAAAAGAATCAGAGGTTATGTTTTTCAGACAAATGTCATTACAGAGGACATTTGAGATCAGGTTTCTCTATGAGTTAAACTACAGTTTAGAGTAAAGCAAACATATTCGTTAGCAAAGGTCAATTGTGTGCCTGGACTACCCAGCTTACCTTGGCAATAGTAAATACCTTTTCTTGAGCCTCTAGGCATGCACAGAAAAAAAAATAAAAATAAATAAGAAATTCAATAAGTTTACATGAAGATGTAAAGGAAGAACATACAGTTTGGGATAACTACAGCATCTTCTGAAATCTGTTGGGTAAGATATGCTGAACTGGCTTGGAGACAAATGGTTCATATGAGTAAAATACATTAGATGGTGACAGGTTAGAATAAGATGGACTTCACTTTAACTGAAATTCTCTAAATGCTCATAAAGCCATCACCAATGGTTCAACGGAATCACTGATTTTTGGAAAATTCAGGAGGGGATGGCAACTATGAGAAAACTGCAGAATTTAGGCTCTTCTACCATGACACTGAAGTGGAAGATTTTTTTCCTATCTTCCTCTGTCAGTGAACATTCTTTTATTCTATGTTTGTACGAAAATCGTATAGTAATGGGTAAAATGCCTGCATGTAATTTTAGATACTTCCAAAATGCCAAGCAATGTAGAAATAAATAAGAAACCAAATAATACAATATGCTAGGCCATCATAACAAAAAAACACAGAAGTAATCATTGTTATTTGAATAAAAATTATTTTAACATAGAATAATTTTTCCTCCTAACAATAGAATATTAAAAAAAGGAAAGCTACCAATTAGCTCTTTCATTAATACCTCATCAAATAAGTTTTAATGTTACCATCTTAATTTATATCAGGCTCCCTATTGCCTCAGAAGTTATAGCTTAAAGAGAGATCAGAATATTTTATAAGGGTTCAGTTTTTGCACTTTCTGATGGTAATTGAAATAAAATTCACCCATACATTTCAAGGTTTTTGAAGTTAAATGACAGTGTCTGCTGAGAACTGAGAACATGTAAACGCTTGCAATTTAGCTTCTTCAAATTATTTACATGGAAATCTCACAAGAAGCTTTGTTTTCTCTACAATTGAGAGAACTATTCTGGAAGATACTGGTCTCATCCAACAACTAATAAGGGAAAAAAAAGCATCTGTTTAGTTTTTCTTGCTGAAAATGTCCCAGTACGAGAAGATTCTAATTTTGGCAGTGGGGGGTGGGGGGTGGGTAAAGGGTATAGGAGGTGGTTTCTCTAGTTTATCTACTGGTTGAAAGGAATGGTTCACATTATTTAGGAGCCTCAGCTCCCAAGGGCCCTGAAGCCAGTGAAACTCCACCCAATCTTAAACTCAGGTTGGATGTTTGGAACTCACATCACATGTCTGATCACAACCTAAATTCTACCTGGCTACTCTTGTCCAATATCCTGTGGTTCTGTGTTGCTGAGGAAAACCAAGAAAGATGAGTTACTTACCAGGAAACTGGAATCAGCTTGCAAGTGTAGTGGAAAAAAAGCCCCTTGTTTTTATGGCTGAAATAGTCTAGGGTTGTAGCAGCATAAGTTGGATTTACAAGCTTGGTTAGAAAGCATAGTTGTATTTTCAATTTCTGTCTACCCTCCTAGACAGTGATAAAGGCTTGTATTTCTTTGTGTCTCATTCAATGCTGAGCAGCACACAATGAATACCAAAATGTCTGTGGATTCCATTTTAAATTGAAAGACATATTCAGCCATATTTCAATGGATTTGGTTACTTTTATTCTGGCATTTGTGTTTGAGCTTGTAGGAGAGTTTAAAAAGCTTACTGATTTATTAACAAGAAATACCCTAGTTTCTGAACATACTGAATAAACAATTCTTCCATCTGATCTCAAGCTCTTGACTTAAATCAAGATTTATCGAACAATGAACCCCGATTATTTTTGCTGAGGTATCCTTACATCAAAACTAAGAAACATAAACAAACCACATAAAAATATAATCAGAAACTCATACTCTGAGGCATGAGAGAGCCATATTTCAGGGCAATTTGAAAATAGCTATCAAAAATGTATGACCAACAGCTACAATTAAATTTGTGACATTCTTAAAAGTTATTACTAATTTGAAAAGCTAGCACTGAGTGATCATTCTACCCCAAAGATTGTTCTAAGCATTTTACATAAACCTTCTTACTGAATCCTAACAAAAGCCTTATGAGGTAAATAGTATCCTTATTTTACAGACAGTGAAACTGAGACAGAAAAATTAGGTGAATGGCATTTGACTTTTTAAAGTAAATGTTACTACTATATTAATTATAGCAGTATTATTGATATGTACATATATTAATCATGCTGCATGTTTCATTAGGAATGTAAAGATTAAACTGCCAATAATGGGGGAAGGCATGATTTTACAAATAACTCATGGATCTTCAAGACCGTAAGTGGGAACCACTGGTCAAAGATTTTGCTGTTCAACCTCTTATGGCCTAGGTGATGGAGCTCCAGGCATCTTGATGCTCCAGTAACACAGTACTTAGGATTCTTAGAAACTCAGTGAAGGACTATACCTCATTCAAGAAGCCGGGGTGGTGAGCTCTTACTTGTCCTGCAGCCTCAACACTATAGCACTGCCTTGAGCCTCATTTCATCTCCACAAAATGAAGCAGTTTGATCGCAGGTTTCAAAGATCCTTTCCAGCTCTTATTTATCTGACTCTATAAGGAGTCAGTAAACTTTCTGTTCAGCAGGTTTCCAGCATGTCAGGAAATGAAAAAGAGCTTCTAGAAGAATGATCCAAACTTCTTTTCCAGTTCCAGAAAAGTAGGAGCAATTGATATGTTCTTGAGGGTATTGCCCACACAAAAGAAGCAGGTATTTTGAGAAGAATAAGATTGTATATATCTAAAATACTTTTAGGAATGAAATGGACTACAAACACATGCTACATACTTTGTCTTGTAGCCTATCACCAACCATTTGAAGAAACTTACTAGTACTGGGAGTTGTGCTATGGTAATCTCCACCCTGAAAATCTTTAAAAATAGGATTTGTACTCATGAGCATGTAAATTTGTAGGTGTTGACTTGCCTTAAGAAAGGCAGAAAAATGCATATATTTCCTAAAATCACATTTGAATCTGTGACTCAGGATGACCTGTGAAGGTTTGCCCTCGAAAAAGCATTTGATATGTGGTATACATTCTTTTATTTTAGGGCCTGAAGGCTCCCGAGGTATGGCCAGACACTCCATCTTGTACTTCATCCTGCTGAGTGCTCTGATCAACAAGGGCCAAGCCTGCTTCTGTGATCACTACCCCTGGACTCAGTGGACTAGCTGCTCAAAAACCTGCGATTCTGGAACCCAGAGCAGACACAGGTGGGTATAAGCTTTGTAGCTTTTCTTTGTGCCCTGGAAGAACTCAAGGATGAAGTCAGCAATATCAGGAGTGCCACACGAAACAATGGGAAAAATATATATATCTCAAAGTAAAAATTTACACATTTGGATAAAATTTGAAATCTTCCTCTTATGAGGTTGAAAGGAAGTCTACTTTTGTTCTCTCTACAAAAACAAGGGGTTTCAAAGAAATTTAAGAATCTGTGCAACAGTGTCAGTTGACTATTTAACTTGCTTAGAATCACTACTCAAGCCTTTTTTCAATTAGCATATAACTCTGCTTGCCTACAGTTAGTGAGTTAATTATAGAGAATTTTCTACTCATTAAACCGAGTCTAACAGGACCTCAATTGAGCAGAACTGCTAGCTATTAGCTTGATTATTGGCTTATACAAAATGGCAACAAAGCTGTTCATTCTTTATAACATTTAATAATTCAGTCTTTTCACCAATTCAGACTTCTCATCCCCCACAGTTTCTTTAAATATGTTAAATGTTTCTGTACCACTGAGATGCTCACAAGTTAGAGGAGAAAATCACCTATTTAATGTGTTTTAACCATTACAGCATTTTTTAGGATCCTTATTTTAGAAAACTATTTTTACATATGTAGTGTGAATCTCATTAAAATTACCAATTGACTTCCCCAATAAACCATCTATTAAGTATGTGAAAACAGATTTGTTTACAATATTCCTCTACTCAAGAGTCCTTCAGTAGCTCCCTGCTTCCTATGAAGAATAGCCAATATTCCTGGCCAGTCACACAAGCTCCTCCCTGGAGAGGTACCTGGATATCCTCTCTTCTACTTCAAATCTTTGCACATGTCACTTCCTCTATATTCCGTTCCTTCTGTAACCTGAAGAATTCACATGAATTATTCAGGATATTTCTCTCATGTCACTTTTTCTTTGCATCCTTAGTCCCACAGCACCCTGTGTTGTCCCCCCTTTAAGCAATTTGTAGGATCTTTCTCTCCTTTCATCTTTCCTTACTCTCCAGTCCATTCGAGGCGCTCCAACATGGCTGGCTTAATGGTGTAACACGTGCAGTCACATAGGACCCACACTTAGAAGGGCTTCATGCCCTTAATGATCTGCCATTGCTATCCTGAAGCTCTTAGTTTTGAGCAAGAGGTTTCCCATTTTCATTTTGCACGGGGCCTCAAAAAGTATGTCCTGAGTTCTATTAAGTGGTGAGAACTGCATATATGTCAACCTGCCTAATTTTTCTATGAAAATTTTCTTTCTTTTCTATTTATTGTAGTTAATGCTCAATGATGCAGGATCCATGGTAAATACAATCATTCTAAGCCATTTTTTCTTCACTATTACAGGCAAATAGTAGTAGATAAGTACTATCAGGAAAACTTTTGTGAACAGATTTGCACCAAGTTGGAGACTAGAGAATGTAACTGGCAATCATGCCCCATCAACTGTCTCCTAGGAGATTTTGGACCATGGTCAGACTGTGACCCTTGTGTTGAAAAACAGGTAGGTGACCATGCACATGTCCAGGAAATATGGATCATAAGAGAGGGCTCGGATTCCCTGACAGGCTTAACAACACAGTAATGCTGACTCACTTCAATTTCTGAAAGTCAATTGTCTCAGCTTCCATTGAGGGAAAATTCCATTTAGCACTTGAGGGGAAGAAGGAATGTATTTTATATATTTTACTGTCTTTGATCACAAAAAAGAAATTTTGCTCCCACTATTGGTATTGTACTTACCCAGTTCTGAATTCTACTGCCTGTGCCTTCTGAGAATTCTCAAAGCAAAAGTGTTTATACAGATTGATCCTTATCCGAAATGTTGGGATCAGAAGTGCTTTGGATTTTGGATGTTTTTTAGATTCTGAAATATTTGCATATACATAATGTAGTAGCTTGGGGATGGGACACAGTCTAAACATGAAATTCATTTATGTTTCATATACACCTTATTCATATATTCTGAAGATAGTTTTATACAATATTTTAAATAATTTTATTCATGAAACAAATTTATGATAAGTATTTACATATACAATACTCCACTGTGCCGTCATGTTAGCGCTCGAAAATTTTTAGATTTTGGAGCATTTTGGATTTGGGGTTTTCAAACTAGGTAGGCTTAACCTGCACTAAAATAATAAAATAATAATACAACAGGGTTTCAGTCCAAGGTTTCAAACAAGACAGAAATGAGGGAAATGAATCAAAACCTTGACTCCTTGCCCATCCTCTGCATTCTCTCTCCTCACAGCAGTCCCTCAATTTGTTTATTGTTCCCAATTGTCATATTTACCCATCTCATTCCTCTAAGGGATTGGCCAATGTGAGCCACAGTCAGGGCCGTGCTGAGCATTTGCACAGCAGAGAAGAAAAAGAAACTCGTGCAGAATACCTACTTTCTAAGGGGAACTCTTCTAGGTCCCTTTCATGTGTCACCTTACTCAAACTTCACATTATATTGTGTTTCTCTACCAATAGGTAGAAAAACAGATGAGAAAGTTATTGCTTATTTGGGGTTAAGTAATTTTCCCAAGAATATATTCATCAATTAATAAATTGAATTTTTCTGTCTTCAAAATCAGTACATTTTAGTCCTATTGTATTGCTATTCTCACTCGACTCACCATTTTACTACTCACCATTTAGAATCTTTTTAAAGTGTAGACTATGTTAGCATTGGTTTTCACAGGGACTTCCTTATGCAAAAGAACCTCAAAATTATTTCACATTTATCCCTTTACAGTATCTGAGATATAGAAAGGCTGTTATTGCCTGGAGGAATTTACTGTACTCAAGAGACTCTCAGCAAACATTTATACATTTTATTTTGAAAATGTATAAATATGGTTTCAGAGTTATAAGAAGCCTTAGAAACCTTTTTGACCCACTTTCTCATTTTACTAGATGGAAAACAGAGGCCCACCGTGGTGATTATTTCCCTAAGGGAGCATAATAATTGAACTGGAAGAATCATAAGTAAAATTTAAGAAACATTACCATAGGAAAAATCACTGTTGTGATTGAGAAGGCCAGTTTTCTCAGATACATTTTGACCTTGACCCTGCCTCAGAGTTATGTCTTTCTCTTCTTTCTTTTCAGACTAAAGTTAGATCTGTCGTGCGTCCCAGTCAGTTTGGGGGACAGCCATGCACTGAGCCCCTGATGGCCTTTCAACCATGCATTCCATCTAAGCTCTGCAAAATTGAAGAGGCAGACTGCAAGAATAAATTTCGCTGTGACAGTGGTAATGTATTTTTGTGAAATGTTAAGTCTCCACTAAAAATAACTTGACTAAATCAAAGTTACTCCAATTGACTAAACAGTAAAATCCATCACAGAGAAATCCCACTGCATTTAAGCATAGTGGAATGGGAGTGTCATGCTGCCAATTACCAAAATAATCCACTGTTAAGTTACGACTTTTAAGTTATACCATTTTGACCACTTACCTGATGTGCCCAAATCTATAATCAGGATAATTTTTTAAAAAATGAAAAATTTTCAAAGATTTTTAATATGATTTATTATGACAAGAATATTAAGATATCATGTTGGAAGATGACTAGAGATGATGTAGAAAACTCTCTTGACTGGCTCTAAAATTAATTCCAAAAGACAAAGTCAAAAGCACATACACAAATGAGCTGGCTGTGTTTCAGTAAAATTTTCTTTACAGAAACAGATGGACATAGTTCAAGTTAGTTTTAGCCCACGGGCCATAGTTCACTGACCTCCTATCTAAGGAGTCAACTTGAAGTTACAATAAAATTAAATTTCAGATGAATAAAATCTTTATCATTTCTGTGTACTCTGGGATATCCTGAAAAGTAAACTAGATAGCAAATTCCAATTCCACAGAAAATTGACCCAAGACCTTGGAACCCACGTTTTCCCCTCTTACTCCCTGCTCCCTGCCTTCAGCTTTGCAATGTTTTCTGGATGTCAGACAGGAATGCTGGGGTCAGGGTTTTCCTTTACCCACTTCCATTCCAAACCTGGAATATGAAGGTGGGATGTAGGTGGGGAGATATACTTTGTGGCTATATAAATAAGGTCAAGTCACACATTGACCAAAGAGGCAATCAGGGCAAAATCCTGATGACAGTGGCTGAGGGTAATACAGACCTGATCATTATATCCATAATATCAAAATCAAGATCTAGAACTAAAGTATAACTATTTGAATCTTGAAAGATAGTTTTTTACCACCAAGAAAGACTCTTTTATTCAGTAGATGATAAATCTATGAAAAATTACAAAAGAGCTGCATTCAGGCCAAAAATACTCAAAGTTTGAGAAGCCTTGAGATGCATCCATGGGTAACCAATTTATAATGAACAATTTTAGAAAAGTTAGCAGTGTAGGCACAGCAGATTGCCATTTCATCAACAGTTATGTTCATAACCATTGATTTTAAATTAGCTGTATTATAAAGATGTGTCTGTAATGGTTGGTAAGCAGCAGAAACCCTGTCCTCCCTGTGTAACCCATGTCCTGCTTCCCGAAGCCCCAAATCCCTAGATCTTTTCATGATCCAGAAACGGTGGTAAATCTCTGGTACAGATGTGGTTGGCATCCATTCTGACTGGGTGATGCCATAGCCTTTCGGTTGTTAAATATTCCATTGAAGATGGTATACTATTTTGCTCTCCTGAAAGTCTCTACTAATGCCACTGTCAATGGGAATAAGAGGTTGTATGAATGATTTTTTTCTGACTCAAGACGCTTAAGTTAGTTGTTTGGCCCTCAATTAACAAAGAACTATCTCACCTGAAAAGATTAACCATCTTGCCTTTCCTCCCTTATGACTGAGGTTCAGAGTTTCCCAAGAGTCCTCAAGATGAAATGGATTATTTTGATGTGTACATGGATTTTTAAGCATTACCCATTAGGTTAATTCCCATGCAATATACCAACTCTTCTTTCAAAGTCCTAATTTAAAGCATAAAAAAACTACAGAATTTGCAGCTGGTTTTAAAAAATAATACAGTATTTTAGTGACACAAATTGCTTCCAATGGTTAGGAAAAACGTGCAATTTCTGCATGATTGCATGGTTTCAAGTGTAAATGTATACAGGCATGGGCTGGCTAAGCATGGCGACTTCTGCAAATCCTGCAATATTCAAACTGTCCTTTAATTTCTCATTCTTTCTTTGGTATGGAACATATTTATGGCTTACAATATCTCTCCCCTTATGCTTTCTATTCCATAGAGTTTTTATGGCCTGGAACCATTCTTACCTATATCACATCAGGCCTATTCCTAAACATCACTCAAGAGGTATTCTCTTCCCTTCATCCCTGCCGTTGCTAATAGGCTATGATATTCCTCTAAGTACTAAATGGATAGAGTATCTTGTATTCTCACAAATCTGGTACTCTGCTCACAACGCTGGTACGCTGCTCACAAAGCTAAGCTAATGAGAACTATACATGTGTATTTTTCCTTCTGTCTAATAAAGTGTGATTTTAGTGTAACCATATCAAAAATAAGCCTTTGCTTAAATTTATAAGTGCTAGGTTCAAAGCTTTTTTAAAAATGTAATATGTATAGATGCATATTTTAATAAATAGCCTCTCTATTTCAAACTAAAATTCCCATTCTGTTCTGCCCTGAAAATAAAATGAAACAAAAAAACTAGAAGTACACTGTTTAAAAATAGAGCATCTTTCAGGTCAAGTCATGGGATGAACAGACATTCAGTTCAATCTGTATTTTCAGTCCTGTGTGATTACAGTACTCATAGCTATAATTCTTTATAATAGTCCTGACATAATGCAAGATGGAAGATGTAATTATTTTAATTACACTCCTACCTTCTAAGTGAAGATTATTAACCAAAAAAGTTGAAACCAAGTACTTTCATGGGAACTCTCTATTAATTAAAAAAATTTTAATTCAACAGAATGCCCAATCTTCCTGAGCATTTTAGTCAAAATAGTCATGCATAATTGTAGTGAGATACTAATCACGTCTTAAAATAGTCAACCAGATAATCTCAAGTAAAACTTTAATCATTGTCAACTGGACCTGTAGGTACCAGTACAGATGCTAACATCATCAAATAGAGGCAAGAAGGTGAAGGGCAAGCGAGGAGATATCTGTCATTGCACATGGGCATTTCAATTTCTGTAATATATAGTTACACACTGATTCCAAGGATCCTTATGAAATTCAGTGAGTCAAAAATGGAGCATAATTATTTGGGCACACGAAATTTGTACCATTTTCTAAATTTGCTCACTCAACTTGCTACTGTGGTATCTAGACACTTGTCCAAAAAATAGATATAGCAAATTTTATGCAGTAAAACAATTACATACAGTAATTATACATAGTAAAATATATAGTAGATATATTTAATAAAATCTGTAATTATAAATAGTAAAATATACAGATTCTAATTTTTCACAAATTATACAATCATGTAAACAACGCTATGTCAAGATATAGAAAGTACAGATTTCTATATTAAGATACAGAAAATTCCCATAAACCCAAAAAGTTCCTACCTTCTCCTTTCTAGTTAACTCCCCCTCCTTCTTTCTGGACATCATATAAAGGAATCACATAACATGACTCATGTGTCTGGCTTTTTTCACCCAACATAAAATTTGAGAGATCTAACCATGTTATTGTTTGTGTGTATCTGTGTGGTGTGTCTGTAAAATTAAAGGTTTTTAAATAAAAACAGTAACCTTGATCTCCCATCCTGGATCAAAACAAAATTCTGAATCTCTTGTTAATTTTCCTCTACTGAACATGATCTCTATAGTAGCTGACTGTAATGGGAATGACAGTCTAGGATTACTTCTCCTTCTAAAGACAATCAGCCCATGGCAACTAAATAATTCTGTGGTGACCCTTGTAATCTTACAGGTGGAAATATCAGTTTATCACTCCATTTTTATGTGCTCCTAAAACTCTATCAAAAATAGTGAAGACTTGCCTTCAACTTTACCTTGAAATTTAAAGGATTTGTGTTTCAAATTAATAAATACTTTCTAAAATGATAATTTGTTGCAATGATGTTGTTTGCTTTTCTTGACCAGGCCGCTGCATTGCCAGAAAGTTAGAATGCAATGGCGAAAATGACTGTGGAGACAATTCAGATGAAAGGGACTGTGGGAGGACAAAGGCAGTATGCTCACGGAAGTATACTCCCATCCCTAGCGTACAGTTGATGGGCAATGGGTATGTAACACTCTTTTTTATCATCTTGGGCAGAACAGGTATCAGAACAAATGAGTCAGGAGGAGCAATGAGATACATCATTGTCCATCTTCCTCATTAACTTCTTACTAGTCCAACCAGCCCTATACCTGATACTTAGCTACCATGTTCAGGAAGCATGTGGCCATGATCCTCACTCCTGAGACGTGAAAGTCAGCATTTTCACATATAGTTTGTGCCAGGCAATGCTATGGACCCTTCATAAACGTGGCTTGTTTTAGTTCTCATACATCTCTCAGGAAGTTTTCGAATGGATTAGAGCAGAATGGTAGAAAACCCACCAAGCCAGGAATTGCCAGGATGGGGTCCTGGAGCTAGGCTTTGAATGGCTGAATAACCACTCAGAAATATCAGGAGCAAATTGAGAAACAGGGTGTCATAAAAGAATGCCTATGGGTGGCTTTGAAGTCAACACATTAGATAAAGAAAACCAGTCTTCCAGTGTGAGAAGCAAGCCCAGAGTTGAATAATGAGCAATAAAGCCAAAAGGAAAGAAGTTAGGCAAATACAGAAAAAAAGAAAAGGCTAAGCAACAATGAAACCATAAGAGAGTAAGCAGTGAAGTGAATATAGCTAAGTATTCTCTCCCATAGGCTGTGTGATGTGTGAGTAGGTCAGTAGAGCCTCATGGCAGAGGCCAGACCTATATAACCATCCACTTTCAGCTTACAAACTGAGTCTCGGAAAGCTTAAATACAGTTACCAATTCTACCAACTAGCAAATGGTGGAACCAGGATTCAAATCCAGACTTAACCCAGGCTATTTCCACTATTTCATGCTGATTCAGGACTACATCCACCTTACACATGAGATAACCTAGAAGAAACCTCAGGAGATCACATAGCTCTTTCTTCTAGTGTCCCTATTTTAGGAATACCCAGTCATGAGCACAATGGGGGTTTCTCAAGAGGTCCTAAATTCATTAGACTGCACCAGTGTTCTTGAAAGATCTTAGGATATTATGAAAAGAGAAAAAGTGAGCTTTAACTCAAAACATAAGAAAAATCAGTAAAGATAATCTATCCTCTTCCCTTGACATAATAAAGAAACCCCTTTTAAATTTTTGGCCAGAAAACAAATAGTTTGCTATCAATTTCTGTTCCTACATATTGGACTTTAAAAAATTAGAATATTCACTTAATGCTGCCAGAGTTGCAGAATATGAAACCTCGAGGCACCTAACACAAACAGCCACAATTGCAAGTACAACCTCATTTGATTTAGAATAAAACCCAGAGAATATTGACCCAAACCCAAGGACACCATTAACACGGAAAAACCATTAGTCTGAAAGTAAGAGGAGCTGGGTTCTAAATAACTCAGCTGATTCTAATGTAGAAGTATAACCAGTTCTGCATTATCTCACTACACCACAGCTGAGTTATTCAACAACCCTGGGCCTCAGTTTCCTCATCTATATGTTGGATGACTATAAACCAATGTGAGGTTTTGTCCTAAGAATGTCTAACTAGTGGTGATCTCAATGAGAGTGCTTCAACAACATATTCTTATTCATGTGCAGAAATGGTTTCCTTCTCTTGTTTTGGCTGCAAGAAAACGTCAGCCAAAAACTCCCACTGATAATCACATTTTCTAATGTTCTGATTGATGAAGGGTGACATTTCAAAATCACCTTTTGTTCAGTTGATCTAGACTCGAGTTACAGATGGGGAGGACCACATGCTATGTGTACTTTGGCTGAAGGACTATGTGGCCCTCTGCCAACCAGAGCTGTTGTCCCAAGGATTCTCAGAAATGAGCAAAGCCTCCTGGCTCAGGACAACCAGTCCTGCCTCCCCAGGGACTAAGAGTTTTGAGAATTGCTTAATGTAATCCTGTTCTAATCTGCTGGCCTTAGAATCTCTGCCTCTCCTCTGTACCCTGCTCCCCAATATATTTCAAACCACAAGAGAAAAAGCTTCCTGAGTGGCTGTCCTTCTTTGTAAATGATACTTCTCCAAGAAAGAGATATAATAATTTCTACATTGCCAACATCAGTCACTAGTTCTTAAATATGAAGCAAGAATCAGGCAACAATAGCATGCTATTTGTTTTTTTCTCAGGCTCATTGTGTATACAGATACACATACAGTTGAAAGGACACATTAATCTATGTGGTGAATAGTGAGACCTGTGAGTAGGGATCACACATGTATATATGTGAAATTCACACATACACACAAATACATATTTCTGATTTACATATTTCTAGTTATATTCAAAAAGTTACAAAGTATGACACATAAATCAGGTTAGATCAAAGCACTTTAGAAAACTAAAGTATTAAGGGCAACACTGTATGTGAAACACTAAAGTATTTTAAGTCAGTATCAATATCTGAGAAGGGAAAGGAAAGAATAAAACTGAAAATTTCTTCAGAGCTGGCTTAGCCCCTAAAAGATTTCTCCGGCATGGCCTGCTGGAAACACATCCGTAAAATTCTATCTTCAGGCTCTCCACAAATAGCTGTCACCTTCATAGATTCCTTGTGACCTGAGAGCCATTTTTCTCAAGCCCTTTTTTGCTTGTGACAAACATAAGTACATAGTACATACCAGTATAAGGTGAACAGGTTTGGAGTCTTCACTGTTAGGCTTTCAGCTATTTAAATATAATCTGCATCTTAGGCAACCCACAGAATTCACTCATTTTAAAAAACAGCCTTATTGAGATGTAATTTGCATGCCATACAATTCACCCATTGAAAGTGTCTAATTCAATCATCGTTAGCATATTCACAGACTTACGTAACCATCACCATGATATAATTTTAGAATGTTTTTAACATACCCAAAATAAAACCTTTGCACATATTAGATATTAGGCTTCATTTACTTCCCCCTTCTCCCCAACTCCTAGCCTGAGGAAACCGCTAATTCATTTCCTGTTCATGTAAATTTGTGTATTCTAGACATTTCATAAAAATGGGATTATACAATATGCAGCCTGTGTCTGCCTTTTTGCACTTACTATAATGTTTTTAAGATTCATCCATATGCTCATAATTGATACTAGAGAAATATAAAGGATCATTAAAGACTATTATAAACAACAATATGCCAACAAATTTGAAAACCTAGAGGAAATGAATAAATTTCTGGATACAAAAAAACTTACCAGTATTGAATCAAGACGAAATAGAAAACACCAGTTGTGAGTAATGAGATTAAATCAATAATAAAAAGTCTCCCAACAAAGGAAAGCCCAGGACTGGATGGTTTCACTGCAGAATTTTACCAAACTTTTTAAGAACTAATATGAATTATTATCAAGGTATCCCCAAAAAAATCAAAAGGGAACTTTTCCAAACTCATTCTACAAGTCCAGTATAATCTTGATACCAGCCTGGCCAACACAGTGAAACCCCATCTCTACCAAAAATAAAAAAATTAGCTGGGTGTGGCGGTGGGCACATGTAGTCCCAGCTTCTTGGGAGACTGAGGCAGGAGAATCACTTGAACTCAGGAGACAGGGGTTGCAGTTAGCTGAGATCACGCCACTGCACTCCAGCTTGGGAAACACAGCAAGACTCAGTCTCAAAGGCCAACAAACAACCAAACAAAAAACAACAAAGGCATCACACTACCACATTTCAAAATACACATTTTACATGTGTTACATGTTACAAAGCTATGATAACCCAAGCAGCATATTACTGGCATCAAAACAGACACATAGACGCATGGAACGGAATACAGAACCCAAAAATAAAACCATGTATTTACAAACATATGATTTTTGACAAAGGTGCCAAGATTATGAACTGGGGAAACAAGAATCTCTTTAACTAATGGTGCTGAGAAAACTGGATATCCATATGCAGAAGAATGAAACTGGACCCTCACCACTCACGCTATACAAAAATCAACTCAAAATAGATTAAAGACTGACTTGTAAAATTTTAGAACTATTAAACTATTAGAGAAAATTATAGGGGAAAACCCATTGAACGTTCATGTGAGAAAATATTTTATGAATAAGACCTCAAAAGCAGAAGCAACAAAATCATAAATAGACAAATGGGATTATATCAAACTGAAAAGCTTTTTGCACAGCAGAGGAAAGAATAACAAAGTGAAAAGACAACCTATAGGGTGGAAAAAAAGTATTTGCCAATCATTCATCTGACAAGGAGTTAATATCCAGGATATATAAGGGACTCAAACAACTCAACAGCAAAAATAAACAAATAATACAATTTAAAATGCACAAATGAACTTAATAAGACATTTACCAAAAGGAAACATAAAAATATCCAACAAATATATTTTAAAATGTTCAACATCACTAATCATCAAGGAAATGAAAATCAAAACAGTGAGGTATCATCTCACCACAGCTGGAATGACGATTATCAAAAAGACAAAAATAGGCCGGGCGCGGTGGCTCAAGCCTGTAATCCCAGCACTTTGGGGGGCCGAGGCGGGTGGATCACGAGGTCAAGATATCGAGACCATCCTGGTCAACATGGTGAAACCCCGTCTCTACTAAAAAATACAAAAAATTAGCTGGGCACGGTGGTGCGTGCCTGTAATCCCAGCTACTCAGGAGGCTGAGGCAGGAGAATTGCCTGAACCCAGGAGGCGGAGGTTGTGGTGAGCCGAGACCGCGCCATTGCACTCCAGCCTGGGTAACAAGAGCGAAACTCCGTCTAAAAAAAAAAAAAAACAAAAACAAAAACAAAAAAGACAAAAATAACAAATGCTGGCAAGGATGTGGATAAAAGGAAACTCATGATGCACTGTTGGTGAGAATGTAAACTATTATAGCTCTTATGAAGACCAGTATGGAGATTCCTCAAAAAACTACAAACAGCACTGCCATATGATCCAGCAATCCCACTACTGGGCGTACATCCAAAGCAAAGGAAATTGGTACACCGAACAGATATCTGCACCCCCATATTTACTACAGCACTGTTCACAATAACTAGGACATGGAATTAGTCTAAGTGTCCATCAGCAGATAAATGAATAAAGAAAATGTGGTACATATACAAAATGGAATACTATTCACCCATAAAATAGAATGAAACCTTGTCACTAGAGAAACATGGATGAGCCTGGAGGTTATTAAGTGAAATAAGCCAGGAACAAAAAAGTGCTGGATTACAGGCGTGAGCCACCACGCCCGGTGACAATTTTAAAAAACATAATTTTTAAAATCACCCATATAAAGTATATGCTAATACTTCATTCCATTTTATGAGAGAATAACAACCCATTGTATCATTCTATCACATCGAGTTGATTCATTCATCAGCTAATGGACATTTGGTTTGTTCCTACTTTCTCTAATATGAGTAATGCTGCTATGAACATTCACCTACAAGTTTTTGCATTGATATATATTTTCAATTATCTTGCATATATACCTAGGAATGGAATTGCTGAGCCTTATGGTAATTATATTTTTAATTTTTGAAGAACTCTCAACTATTTTCCAAAACGGCTGCACCATTTTTCATTTCCCCCACTTACATATGATTGGAAATTAATTTCTTCTTCATCAAAACTGTTTTTGTTTACCTTTTGGTTAAAGCTATGCTAATGGCTGTGAAATGGTATCTCATTGCAGGTGTGATTTGTATTTCCTAATGAGTAATAACATCGAGCATTTTTTTACATGCTTATTACTCATTTTCATATTTTTTCAAAGAAATATATATTTAGATACTCATTTGCTCATTATTTAATTAATTTGTTTTTATTATTTAATTCTAAGCATTTTTTGTATATTCTGGGTGTAAGTTCTTCATTAGATACGTGATTTGGAAATATTTTCTCCCATTATGTGAGTTGTATTTTCATTTTTTAGTTGGTGTCCTTTAAAACACTAAAGATTTTAATTCTGGTGAAGTTTAATATATTTATTTCTTTTGTTGAATGTGCTTTTAATGTCATATCTAAGCGGCTTTGCCTTATTGGATATCACAAATATTTAGTCCTATATTGTCTTCTAAAAGGTTCTAGAGCTTTAGCTCTTAAATTTAGGTTGTATTATCTGTTTTGATTAATTTTCTTGCATTATGTAAGAAAGGGGCCCAATTTCATTCATTTGCAATATAACTATCGGCTTGTTACAGTACGATTCATTTAGGACTATTTTCCCCCATTGAATATGGATTTATTTCTAGATGCAATTCTGTTCCATTGGTCTATATGTCTATCCTCATGCCAGTACTACTACTCTGTCTTGATTACCCTAAGTTTGAAGCAAACTGTGTATCAGGAAGGGCTATTTCTTGAACTTTGTCCTTCTTTCTCAAGATTGATTGTCTTGGCTATTTTAGGTCTTTTGAATTTTAGAATTAGCTTGTGAATGTTTACAAAAAAAGGCAGCTGCGATTTTTATAATAATTGTCTTGAATCTCTATCTTAACAGTACAAACTCTTCCAACCCATTAATATAGAATGTCTTTCTATTTGTTGAGATTTCACTTAATATCTTTCAACAATTGTTTACACTTTTTAGTGTACAAGTCTTAGACCCGTTGTTAAATAAATTCCTGAGGATTTTATTCCAGAGGCTATTATAAATGGAATTATTTCTTTAATTTTATTTTGGATTGTTCATTGCTATTGTATGGAAATACATTTGATTTTTGTTTGTTGATTTTGTTTCTGCAAGCAATTACTTTTGAACTTAGTATGCAACCTTTTAATAAAATTAAAATTTACTTTCCCTGGTAGAAAAATTGGGAGACTTAATATGTATTGTTTCTTCTAATAGGGCAGGCCAGTCCTGTGCTAATCACTGTTAATTTCCACAACTACTATAAAGAAGCAATTAGCTCCGTTTTCAAGTGAAGAAACAATTTCAGAAACTTAAAAGTTGTGTGTTTGTGTGTGTCCTTTTATATTAAGACAATTTTATTGGTAGAGAATTTACAGGTATTTATATTAGCCTTACTTTCTTTTCAGTATTCTAACATCGCTTTACAATTTTCAAATTATCCGTGTTCCTCTTTGATAGAAAAACATTGTGTCCATTGGTTAAAAGAAGTGCCTGCATAATTGATTGAATTTTCTACTTTAAATCCAAATGTCTAATAGCAGATCACGAAAATCTGGCATAGTGAACTACTTCTTGATTCCCTCACAAATGGATAAGTCTAATTGTCTTTTCCAGATCTCTGTGATAGTTACAAAACTTAGTATTTCAGCCTCTGGTAAAGGTGGTGCCTTTCAGGTACATTTTGTCTTGTGAGTTAACACTATAGAAGTACAAGGGAGGCTGGGCATGGTGGCTCACATCTGTAATCCCAGCACTTCGGGAGGCCAAGGCGAGTAGATCACAAGGTCAGGAATTCAAGACAGGCCTGGCCAATATGGTGAAACCCCATCTCTGCTAAAACTACAAAAATTAGTCAGGCATGTTGGCACACACCTGTAGTCCCAGCTACTTGGGAAGCTGAGGCAGAAGAATCACTTGAACTTGGGAGGTGGAGGTTGCAGTGATCCCAGATCAAGCCACTACACTCCAGCCTGGGCAACACAGTGAGACTCCATCTCAAAAAAAAAAAAGAGTACAAGGGAAACAGACATGTTAGTGGTAGATGACATTCTTGAGGCTGTTTAGAGTTCCCTTGAGCCCCCCAAACTATCAGAAAGGATGGGTGTACTGAAGGATCATGAGAAGAGAAAGGGCATGGATGCTATTCCTTCTGCTACATGGATTTTCCAGTGATACTCTGTTAGAACTACAGTATATGTTCTATAAAAGACAACGTTATTTGGTCAAATGTATCTGGAGAACGACAAATTATATTTTTTAAGGCTCTGACATGACCTGTAGAAAACAATTTTTATAGTCTATGTAATACAGCATTACCAAACAGTTTGACAAAAAAACTACATTTTTCACAGAATACATACTAATATCTCTCAGAATATGAAAAAATGTTAGCATCTTGAAGAAGTTTTCTTTTTTATCTACAACAAAACAACTTCTTAAATATTTGATTTATGCTAAGGTAATTAATCTCTATGTGCCTCAATATCCTCATTTGTAAAACAGGTATAATAATTATATCTATACCATATGGTTATGATAAATATGTTACTATTAGTAAATATTAACTAAGTTAATATTTGTAAAGCACTTACTATTGCTTGGCTTACAGTAAACAGTATGTAAGCATTTTTTAAATAAAATAAATTTTAAATACTATAGTCAGCTATTAGTAAAACTATAATGTTATTATAATTCCATCAAAATATTGCTATTACTATTTATTATGAGCTCTCTATTAGAATTCCACTCAGTAAGAAGTGGACCCAGAATGGCATTTATTATATAATAACTTATTTCATAATCTGCTTCCAAACTTTGCACTGGCTTTGTAAGTCATAAAAAATTATAAATCCAGATTTTATTGTATGTTAAAAGACAAGAACAATTAAGTATGTGGAATAGGAGAACCAAATAGAGCCAGAGAAGCTGAGTTCGAGCTTTCCAGCTTCCTTGCATGCCTCACCAAGGACTAGAAAAAAAGTGGGGGTAGCAGGGGTTCCTTCAAGTCATTTGTCTTGAGTCAAAAATGTTTAGAAGAGGAATTCCTTTCATATAACGAAGGTAATTTTAAAGATTGCTCTACATCTATTGAATTCTTAAAAACTACTTTGTTTCTAGGTTTCATTTTCTGGCAGGAGAGCCCAGAGGAGAAGTTCTTGATAACTCTTTCACTGGAGGTATATGTAATACTGCCAAAAGCAGTAAGACAAGTAATCCATACCGTGTTCCAGCCAATCTGGAAAATGTCGGCTTCGAGGTATGACAGCCTAGCATGGTGGCAACTCCAACATCATCAGTGAATATAAGCTAAATTTCTCATGCAAAATTAGTGGTGAATGAAGGGACAGAATGAAAAAATAGTGAACAATTTTAATCACCTGTTATGTTTGCATGTTATCCATGGACACCCAATGAGGCCAGTGTTATCATCAATTTACAGATGAAAAAACTAAGGTAACAACTTTTCCAGAAGTCAAACAGCTAGCAAGAAGTTGATTCAAGATTCAAGGCTAGGTTTCCTGATTTGAGTTGGTTCCTTCTCCAGTGAATAATCAGCTATAAAATAGCTTCACACCGATAAACAGTTTGACTTATTCAGGATTTTCACCTAACCTAGTTAGTTCTCTTAGATAACCACAAAATATAAACTTTTTTAAAGTGCCAAGCTCATAAGAAAAATCATGATGAGTCAGTCTAATCAGATAGCTCTGCTTGCTTTTCTCCCTATTTTATTAGTTGCTTTGGTTTATTTGTTTGTTTTAGTCAATGATGATGAGCAGCATCATTCTACTCCCAGCATCTAACCCATGCCTTACAGATAAGTGCTCCATACTCGTTGCACTAAAGTGAGTAATCTACTTTTTCAAATTTGTGATAAGAACAGGAAATATACAGTTTTAATGGTGACATTCATGCATACAAATATGACAAGCTAGAGAGAATTTCAGAAGGTGCAATAATTTCTGAGATCCACTTTATGGGTAAAATGAATTTAGCAAAAAGTCATTTAATCTTTTTTTAAAGACCTTTATATACATATAAATACAGGCATTTTTCAATTCAATTCACTCAATTTAAAACCATCTAATATATACAATGGGTGGGGAATGTCTTTGGGAAGTAACTGTCAAATTCAAATACCTCTGGGAAGACTGATATTACTGCTCTTAAGATGTATCGTATTGAACAGGCTTTGTAGACAGAGCTAAAACCTAAACATTCATAAGTAATACTGCTCTGATGGAAGTTGCTTTCTAGTTCCAAAATAACCAATCCCCAAGTTTACTTTCAAAATACAATCATTTCACAAAAGCATATTGCCTGTATTTTCAGTAAGCATCTATTTCATGTACTTGTACAAGTAACAAATTAAAGGAAGTATATGAGATTGAAGCAAATTGAGGTTTAGGTAACACTTCACACTTAGATGATACTTCAGTCTTCAAAGTACTTTCATATATTGCCTTACTTGATTCCCCTAACAACCTCCCCAGAAAGGTAGAAAATTGTTTACATCAATATTGCTAACAGAAAATTAAGGCTTGACCAGTTGTTGCGGCTCATGCCTGTAATTCCAGCACTTTGGGAGGCCAAGGCGGGTGGATCCTGTGAGGTCAGCAGTCTGAGACCAGCCTGGGGAACATGGTGAAATCCTGCCTCTATTAAAAATACAAAACTTAGCCAGGCATGGTGGTGCACACCTGTAGTCCCAGCTACTCAGGAGGCTGAGGCACAAGAATTGCTTGAACCCAGGAGGTGGAGGCTGCAGTGAGCCGAGATTGTGCCACTGCACTCCACCCTGGGTGACAGAAGGAGACCCTGTCTAAAAAAAAAAAAAAAAAGAAGAAAGAAAAGAAAAAGAAGAAAGAAGAAAGAAAGAAAAAGAGAGAAAGGAAGGAAGGAAGGAAGGAAGGAAGGAAGGAAGGAAGGAAGGAAGGAAGGAAGGAAGGAAGGAGGGAGGGAGGGAGGGAGGGAGGGAGGGAGGGAGGGAGGGAAGGAGGGAAGGAAGGAGGGAAGGAGGGAAGGAAGGAGGGAAGGAAGGAGGAAGGAAGAAAGAGAAAGAAAGAAAGAGAAAGAAAAAGTTTAGGCTAATTGGCTTATGGAAGTTAAATAACTTTCTCAGTTATACAAGCAAATAAATGGCACAGAAGAATAAGAACTCCTGGCTTCTGGCTCCTACAGTCTGGGACTGCCTATGTTAGATGAGACCCTTATAGTGCATCAAAAAAGACATTAAAACTCGGCACTGTGGGTTAAAAGTCTGAGCACCTTCACAAACTATCAGTTAAAATGTATCTCCGTGAAGTTAGACAGTGATGTTCTGGAGCAAGCAATATGAATTCACAAGAGCCAACTGTTAACTTTTCAGGAATTTGGCAATCCAGTTGCTAAATACAGACTTTTTTTTTCCTTTTTCAACTTTTATTTTAGATTCAGGGAGTACATAGGCACATTTGTCACCTGGGTTTATTGTGTGATGCTGAGGTTTGGGGTACAAATGGTCCCATCACCCAGGTACTGAGCATAGTACCCAACAGTTTTTCGACTCTTGCCCCTCTCCCTCTTTTCCCCTCTAGTAGTCCCCAGTGTCTATTCTTGCCATCTTTACATCCATGAGTACTTGATGTTTAGCCCTCACTTATAAACGAAAACGTCGTATTTGTTTTTCTGTTCCTTTGTTAATTTGCTTAGGATAATGGTCTCCAGCTGCATCCACGTTGCTTCAAAGGATATGATTTTGTTCTTTCTTATGACTGCTAGTATTCCATGACATATATGTACCACATTTTCCTTATGCAATCCACTGCTGATTGGCACCTAGGTTAATTCCATGTCTTTGCTATTACAAACAGTACTATGATGAACAGGTGAGTGCATGTGTATTTTTGATAGAACAATTTGTTTTCCTCTGGATATGTACCCAGTAATGGGATTGCAGGGTCAAATGGTAGTTGTTCTATTTTCAGTTCTTTTAGAACTATCCAAACTGCTTTTCGCAGTGGCTGAACTAATTTACATTCCCACCAACAGTGTATCAGCATTCCTTTTCTCCACAGCCTTGCCAACATCTGTTGTTTTTCTCGACTTTTTAATACTAGTCATCCTGACTGGTGTGAGTAGGTATCTCTTTGTGGCTTTGATTTGCATTTCTCTAATGATTATTGACGATGACCTTCTTTTTATATATTTGTTGGTCAAAACACAGTCATTATGAAATATCAAATATATTATCTCACAGGTAAACATATTAAAAACAAAGGTTATAATGACCCAAAATTTATCACATTTCAATTATTTTGCTACATTTACCATTATCCATGCTCTCGAGGTTATTTACATCTATTGGATCTGTATTATTAAAACACTTTGCAATTTGCTACCATGCACCTCTTTCCAAGTTTGAATTCAGGGCATCACATAGGTAGCTTGAACTCAGCCATGGTAAGAATATACACACAATGGAAAAGGAAAATGTTATAGTAAATCGAGGCTTTCCTCCCCCTCCCGGAGAGCTAGTTGTTAAATATTTACTAACAGATCACTGGGTTAACCCACAAAGCTTGATAATTCAAGCCTGGATAGCAAGTTACATGAGGAAATATAGCCTGAAAATTCTTATACAGATTAAACTCATTTTCTTATCAATGTAGCTCTAAGACTTGTTCAAGTTTATGAAGATACCTGAGCTAATCTTTAACTATATATCATAGTGGCCTGGCTAAAGTCATGGTGATAAGGCTAAAGAAGGTCATAGTGGTATTTCTTCAAACAAAAATATGGCAATGACTATAGTCCAGGTCATGAGCTATTGGTTTTCTTTTAACTTATCTCTGTATAACTTCATTCTTTAGGCATATCTTCGGCAGGCAGCTGTGCAAACCTAAGTTATACGTTATTGAAAATAACAGAGGAGGAGAAATTCAGCGGCCATCTGACTTCCCTTCTTTTGTAGTATTGTAGCTTATTAAGACAGATGAAATAATGGGCTGGCTGGTACACAGAGACTAAAGAGTCTCACAAAAGGATGAAAAGGCAAAAGGCAACTGGGCAGGGTGTTAGAACAGAAGATCTTAGAAAAACTACAGGACAGTTGTTGGAATACAGACACCAGACAGCATTTTATCAAGCAGGACAAGTTAGGTTACACTGCAATAACAATTCTAAGATGTCAGTGTCTTAAAAGTGTCATTCATACTGTATGTTCTACTCATAGTAGTCACTTAGAAACCAAGGGACTTAAGGGATTCTGCTTTGATACATCCTTCCATGATGAATTTCAAAAAAAAAAAAAAAGGGAAGTGACATATTTCCCATCATCTCTTAAAGTGACAGATACCGTTTATATTTATGTTTTATTGGCCAAAGAGAGTAGGGATATGCATGCTTTTTATGTGCACAGAAAAAGACTAGAGTAGTTATAAACAGTGTAATGACTAACACAAAGGTCAATCAAGAGAAGGTCAGCACTGGGGCTTTGGTGGCATGCAGTGGGATGCCAACCTTAGAAACTGTGATCCTGAAGTCAGACTCCAGTTTCCTGAAAAAGTATAAAACGAGGAGTACCTGGTTATTAAGAACAAGTCAAGTTGTCAGAACTGAAAAGTATCTTAGTTAGACTGCATGCTGCATCAAAATCACAGGCGGACTAAAAATAACCCTCATTGCTTATCACCCTGTTAAGTCTCGCCTTAGATGGCATTTCCTTGAGGGAGGATTTCCTGATATTGCCTCTCTGGGTCTTATATTTCCTATGGGATCTCACTGGCCATACAATGCTTACTGCATTAAGTGTTTGTGATTATCTCTTTCTATAACTAAACTATTAACCCCTCAGTGTAGGAAGTAACACTGTTCTTTGTTCTCTAGCAAAATGTGTCCTCAATAAATATTGGCTGAGTACATAAATAAATATATCATCATTTCATTAGATATCTACAAGTTGCTCCAGTATTTCCTAAATTATATTTTATTTTACATGGATTTTTATCCAGGTACAAACTGCAGAAGATGATTTGAAAACAGAGTTCTACAAGGATTTAACTTCTCTTGGACACAATGACAATCAACAAGGATCATTTTCAAGTGACGGGGGGAGCTCTTTCCATGTACCAATTTTTTATTCCTCAAAGAAAAGTGAAAAGATCAACCAGAACTCTGCCTTCAAGCAAGCAATTCAAGCTTCTCACAAAAAGGTAACAAAAATGGTTTCCAATCTTTTTCTTCTTTCTTGAAAATTAACACCAATTCTAGCAATCGTGCAACAAGAAGGGGAGAGTTTTGAATATTGTAGCAGTATAACTGCTAATGCACATTTAAGTAGTTTTCCCATTTTTTTGTTATATCTCACTTTAAAAGTTATAGAAATACTATGTATATTAATGCTTCCATTTTGCATGCATTTGACTGTTATTGTTGTTTTTTATCTTTACTTTTTGTTCATATTACTGTAGGTGTGCTTCTTATAAACTCCACACAACAGAACTTTGTCCTTTCATGTAATCTTGACAGTCTCAAGTCTTTGCTAGGAAAATTTAGCCAATTTATATTTATTATATTTATGGACATGCTTGATCATATTTTTTCCATCTTTTCTTTTTCTTACTCATTTTACTTTGTTACTGTTTCCTGTTTTCTCTCATTTGCTGTTTTTAATCACATTTCTATCTACTCCTTTTTTCCTTTTGGTGATTTTGAAAGTTCTACTATACATTTTTTTTTTTTTTTTGAGATGGAGTTTTGCTCTTGTTGCTCAGGCTGGAGTGCAATGGTGCAATCTTGGTTCACCACAACCATCCACCTCCTGGGTTCAAGCGATTCTCCTGCCTCAGCCTCCTAAGTAGCTGGGATTACAGGCATGCACCACCATGCCCAGCTAATTTTGTATTCTTAGTAGAGATGGAATTTCTCTATGTTGGTCCAGCTGGTCTCGAACTTCCAACTTGAGGTCACCTGCCTGCCTCAGCCTCCCAAAGTGCTGGGATTACAGGCATGAGCCACTGTCCACCAGACTTTTAAGTGTTGCTCATAGTTACTTTTCTCTAGTTAGGAAGCATAATTAGGCCTATGTTTTTTCTTTTATCACATAAAATAATATCTGTAACCCCCCAAAAGATCTTTTACCTACCTAGTCCACACATGCCAACCCCTCTATGTCCTTGAGAACATATTTACTTTTCTATTCCCACCATGAGGTTCGAACATCACAGTTTTAGTGAGATAGTTAAAAACCTTTGTGTTCCAAGCTATTCTTAAAGATTGTTTTGTGTGTGTTTATATATTTTATATGTTAGCGTGTATTTTATTCTAACTCCTATCTTCTCTACTAAAAGATTCCTCACATAACACTTATAATTTTCAAGTTCATAGTCTATATTTTATATTTTTGTTATATTTTATGTATGTATTTGTATGTCTTTATATTTGTACACATACAAATACGTACATAAAATATAAAATGTATAATATTTTGTTACATTTATATTTAAACATACACATTTACCCATCTCAATTTATTTTCCTCTTATTTCCTTTTCTTGAGATCCCTGTTCTTACTCGGTTGCCTTTTTTTTTTTTTTGTATTTTCCTCATATAGGACATATGCAAGGTATATTCTCTAAATCTTTGCATATGAAACATTGCTTGCCTTTTCCCTGAACAACAAATATAAAGAATACCTGACTGTATAATAATCATTATGTCTTCATAGTAGATGTTATTCAACTGTCTTCTTATTTCCATTGCTATATAAGAAAAATCACATTCAGATCAAATTTTTTTATTTTCTTTTCCCTGCTTAGAAAGTTACAATTATTTTTCTGTACTTAGGGTATGTCTAAGTATTGTACTTTTCCTGTTAATCTTGCCAGGGACTTATGGAACCCTTTTAACTTACAAAGATACAGCTTTCCTTGTTAATCATTCTTCATATGTTCCTTTTTCTCTTATTATTTAAATTTTAAATCTCTTAGATATGTCTCACAGTACTTAAACAATTTAGGAGACAGATTTCTATCTGAAATTTTTAGACGTTTACTAAAGTTTTTTAAAATAGTGTCTATTGCTCATCACAATCACCACCCAAAGTAGCATTTGCCCTTTTCCAAGACATGAATGAGGAGAATGAGCCCTGAATCATGGAACTAGAGAGGTAGGAGACAGAGGTACCAATGTCAGAGTTAATGGAATCAGCAACTGGAGGGCACCATATTATGCTTGCTCCTACCTTTATCATATTGCTCTTCTACTTTTATTTAGACAGACATTTATGCACTTATATAAGACCCAACAGCACTGAATGGATAATTTTCCCAAATATTTCATTTATCCTCAAAAGAACTAGATTATTAGAGTCAATATCTAAATATCATTTTGCAGATGAATAAATTGAAGTTCATGTATGCATTTTTAATTCAACAAACATTTATCAGATACCTACCATAAGGCAGGCACTAACTAAAGTCCGAGAAGCTGAGAGAATTCCAGTGATCTTACAGTAAATAAATGCCAGAGTTGGGTACTGAATGGCCTGATTTTTATTTACTTTTTTTTAATTGTACTTTAAGTTCTGGGGTACAGGTATAGAACGTGCAGGTTTGTTACATAGTTATACACGTGCCATGGTGGTTTGCTGTACCCGTGAGCCCATTATCTACATTAGGTATTTCTCCTAATGCTATCCCTCTCCTAGTATCTCAACCCCCACAAGACCCGGTGTGTGATATTCCCCTCCCTCTGTGCATGTGTTCTCATTTTTCAACAACTGCTTATGAGTGAGAATAAGCAGTTTGGTTTTCTGCTCTTGTGTTAGTTTGCTGAGAATGACAGTTTCCAGCTTCATCCATGTCCCTGCAAAGACATGAACTCATCCTTTTTTGGCTGCATAGTATTCCATGGTGTATATATGCCACATTTTCTTTATCCACTCTATCATTGATGGGCATTTGGGTTGGTTCCAAGTTGTTGTTATTGTGAACAGTGCTGCAATAAACGCATGTCTGCATGTGTCTTTACAGTAGAATGATTTGTTATTCTTTGGGTATATTACCCAGTAGTGGTATTGCTGGGTCAAATGGTATTTCTAGTTCTAGATTCTTGAGGAATTGCCACGCTGGCTTCCACAATGGTTGAACTAATTTACACACCCACTAACAGTGTAAAAGTGTTCCTATTTCTCCACATCCTCTACAGCATCTGATGTCTCCTGTTTTTTTAATGATCACCATTCTAACTGGCGTGAGATGGTATCATTGTAGTTTTGATTTGCATTTCTCTAATAACCAACGATGATGAGCTCTTTTTCATGTATTTATTGGCCACATACATGTCTCCTTTTGAGAAGTGTCTGTTCATATCCTTTGCCCACTTTTTGATGGGGTTGTTTTTTTTCTTGTAGATCTGTTTAAGTTTTTTGTATATTCTGGATATTTGCCCTTTGTCAGATGGATAGATTGCAAACATTTTCTCCTATTCTGTAGGTTGCCTGTTTACTATAATTATAGTTTCCTTTGCTGTGCAGAGCTCTTAAGTTTAATTAAATACAATTTGTCTGTTTTGGTTTTTGTTGCCATTGCTCTTGGTGTTTTAGTCATGAAGTCCTTACCTATGCCTATGTCCTGAATGGTATTGCCTAGGTTTTCTTATAGGGTTTTTATGGTTTTAGGTCTTACATTTAAATCTTTAATTCATCTTGAGTTAATTCATATATGAGGTGTAAGGAAGGGATCCCGTTTTTGCTTTCTGCATATGGCTAGCCAGTTTTCCCAACACCGTTTATTAAATAGGCAATCCTATTGCATTTTACTTCAAGATATTTGACCCTTTATTCATTTATTTATTTATTCATAATTTTAGCAAATTACAGAAGAACACTGGTCTGGTGATATGGACATGTAAAAATGACAATGAAATAGATTCATTTTATTTATACATAATATATATATTCATTTTATATATACCATATATATATATATTTTTTTTATATTATTACCTCAGTTTAGAATGGGCTATGGGTCCTACAGTGCCCTCCAAACCTAACAAATTATATTTGTAAGACAAGATAGTATCAGAATTTCTTGTAAGTAAAAATATACATCTCTAGGCCTCTCATTAAATTACTGATTCAGAATATCTGGAATTGGGCATGGGAATATGGCCTTTTTTATTTTTAGCTCCCTAGCTCAGTATAATATAGCATGCAGGATTGGAAATAACTGCTTATAAACATAGTCAAAGATGAAAGGAGATGGACTGTTTGAATGAGTTACAGGTATAGTCCTACATCTTGCTTCACATATGTGATTTATATGTATTTCAAACATGCTAGAGAACATTTGTAAAACCCTTATATGTAGATAAACAGCTATTGTTTGATCCTCTAATAGTCTGTCCCAAAGTGAAAAAATTTAGAGCTATTCACAATATCGGATTGGAACATATGAAACTACTGTTATTCGACCATTTTGGTTTACAAAATTGTTAGCCTCATGCAGTTCAATCCAACATCATTACTGCCATCTTTGATTAGGTGTGAACAGAATTAAGGAATTTCAATCTAAATAGAAAATGAGGTTGGGCATGGTGGCTCACACCTGTAATCCCAGCACTTTGGGAAGCTGAGGTAGGTGGATCATCTGAGGTCAGGAATTCGAGACCAGCCTGGCCAACATGGTAAAAATTATTTATAGATCCTAAAAAAACTAGATATTCTAGTCTCTTTCTGGGCAAATAAAAATACAAAAATTAGCCAGACATGGTGGTGGGTGCCTGTAGTACCAGCTACTCGGGAGGCTGAGGCAGGAAAATCGCTATAACCTGGGAAGCAGAGGTTGCAATGAGCTGAGATGGTGCCACTGCACTCCAGCCTGGGTGACAGAGTAAAACTCCATCTAAAAAAAAAAAGAAAGAAAAGAAAAAGAAAAAAGAAAATGCTACTGCAGCTTCTCTTAGTCTTCAAGTAGAGAAAACAATATACCACAACATTGAAAATCAATCCAAGCCTTTCAGTAGAGCATAATGCTTTAGTTGTTTTGTCAATCACAGATCAAACTAGACATTTGTTGAGCAAACAGTCTGTTTCCAAGCAAAATATCAGTTAACTCAGTAAGATTCACTACTTTCCTGACATACTTTACAACACTGAAATCACAAAAACATTATTAAAATAAAGCAAGACCTCACACATTATTGAAATAGATTATATGTGGTTTAATAACCTATACTAACATATTTTTTTACTCTAAAATAGCCAGTTTCAGTTATCATGAACCAGCAAGCAGAACACCATGGAGGTAATTGTGCTAAGTTGAGCTACCAAAGTTTAACTTGTATTTTCCGTGACTGAGACTTTAAAGCATCCTGGAAATATTGAACCTTCCAGAACGGGCACTTCAGATACTCGGGGAATGAGTGTGCTTCTTACTGAAAGCACAAGGGCTCTCCAACTTTTGAAAACTATGGTTCTATGACAAAATTCAAGTATTATAGTTAAAAATAGAATTAATGAGAACTTACTAAAACGGAATTTCCACAAAGGCATGAACTTTGTCCGCCTTCTTCACTTCTGTTTCTATAGCATCTAAGACAGCTAGGCAATAAATGTATAAAAGTCCAGAAGGTAGAATGAAGGAAGAGAGGGACAGGGAAAAGGAAAGAAAGAAGGGAGATTAATGCTGATTCTTTTTCAGTTTGGGGGATTTTTTTTTCTTTCGTATCAGCAGTCATCTTGTGCCATAATTATAGCAAATAGGAATATGGTTAATAATTAACAATTACAATAGTTATTTTGTGAAAATATGGTTCTTACTCCGTTGCCATTATTATAATTTATTTAAATTGAGAGATCAGATTATGTAAAAAAATTTTTCAACAATATACATAAAAACTTATAAACTTCATTGGCTATATAGAAAGATAATCTGAGGAAATGATATTTTAAGCATAATATTGACCAGCTAATTCTAAATTAATCTGACATAAAACGAAATAATAAATAGGTTTGTAAACAAAAAAAAAATCTCATATATTTCTGCATATGGGTGAAGGAGAGAGAATATAAATAATTTTACTTAAGTTCACCCCCTAAGTAATTTAGAATCAGCACTTTGGAGTTGAAAGGAGGTGTGAAATGTTTCCAGGTGCAAGCCCTCATCTTATCATTTGACAACTGAATTCTAGAGAATCAAACGCTGTTTCCAGTTAGTGATAAAGCTATAACTTGAATCTCAGTTGTATAACCTCCATCTCAATTACATAACTTCCAGTTCAATATGCAAACAATCGTTTTTCAACTTTTCACATTAGCAAGCATTCTAAATAAAAACTCAGTAGAAATGCAGCCATGATTGACAATCAAGAGAGCAAGCTGACTTTTGTGATAATTGATTTTTTTTCCTTCTTAGAGAACACATGCCCCCTTTCTTAACTGGTATGATAGCATGCAATACACTTTATCTCTTATTATATTATTTTAATTATTCTTCTTTGACTTTATTTAGATCCTTAAACGATATGAAGAATGATTTTAAAAATACATATTAAAATAAATAAAACGAAAATAGAAAACTAAGACCAAAAAATAAAGAAAAATAAGTGAGCTTAACCTCTGTGATTTTATGCATCACACTTGTCGCTAAATTTCCTGACATCTGGGAACATCATAAGCTTACACAGTAGTGGTTACCCAAAAAGGAAGATGCATGCCAGTATCTCAAGGGAAACAAAGTTTGTACTGGCACTAAGTTCTAAAAGATAATTTAGGAATAGCATTTTTATAAGAGATAATTTCATAGAGCAATAATTTATAGCAAATTAAATAGCAATCTTTTACATTATTGAGACAATCTTATCTGTTTTGATGTTGAACATTGGCATTGGAAAGTAAAATAAAAATTATAATTTTGTATGTAAGAACATGCAATAGAGAGTGAGAGTTGTTGTAATACTATGGAGGGAATGAACCTAATGATAAATCAATGACATTTAAATGCGTGGGACTTCAAACTTTCATTATCTTTAATCATCTTTTTTTTTTTTTTACTTTTTTCTTCCATTTAGGATTCTAGTTTCATTAGGATCCATAAAGTGATGAAAGTCTTAAATTTCACAATGAAAACTGAAGATCTGCACCTTTCTGATGTCTTTTTGAAAGCACTTAACCATCTGCCTTTAGAATACAACTCTGCTTTGTACAGCCGAATATTTGATGACTTTGGGACTCATTATTTCACCTCTGGCTCCCTGGGGGGTGTGTATGACCTCCTCTATCAGTTTAGCAGCGAGGAACTAAAGAATTCAGGTAACTTTTTTCAGTCCTCACCCTTTAAACTGATATGATAGCATGCAATACATTTTTTTCTCTTACTATATTAATTATTTTTCTTTGACTTTAGATCCTGCTTTATTTCCAAAATGATATAAAGAATGATTAACATATGTATACATACATTCAAATAAATAAAATGAAAATAGAAAACTAAGACCAAATATAAAGAAAAATAAGTGGGCTTAACCTCTGTGATTTTATGCATCACACTTGTCTCTAAATTTCCTGGCATCTGGGAACATCATAAGCTTACACAGTAGTGGTTACCCAAAAAGGAAGATGCATGCCAGTATCTCAAGGGAAACAAAGTTTGTACTGGCACTAAGTTCTAAAAGATAATTTATGAATAGTATTTTTATAGGGAATCATTTCACAGAGCAATAATTTATAGCAAATTAAATAGCAATCTTTTTCTTGTAATAATTTTAACTAAAAGCCAAGATGAAACCTATGATGAAAGAAAAATTGGAAACTTGACAAAGGACTAAGCTAGAGTGGGCGCCATAAGCACCTACTGGTGATGAAACCCGAAACTAAATTCAAAAGGTTTGCGTTATTGTAGGCTTTCCACGCTGCCTGCATGCCTTATATTTCCTTTCAGTTATGCTTTCCACCAGAGAAATTCTTGCATGATGAATTGGATGTCTTCTATTACTTCAAATAGTATCAACACCAATGCTGAGCAGAAATAGTTAGGGGAAATCTCTGGTCTTTGACTTGGTTTTGTCTCACCCTCAGATGAATTATTCTGGTCACTGCTGCTATAACTGAGACAATAATTTCCCACTTGATGAGTATAAATCCTCACGCATGTGGAGCCCCTAAATGCTTAAAGGTCAGTTAAGAACTGGGTGAATCTTTAATCAACTATTCATCCTTTCAAGAGTTAAAGCCCCATAACCAAAACGAAGAGTGATGAGCTCTACTTTCCTACTGAAACATTCTCACATTCCATCTCTTTCTCTGTAGAGGTAGAGACTGACAGTTACATATAATGAAGAAAAGAAAAGGCGTTTGGGATGTGATAGGAAATTCAAAATAAATACCTATGTATATCTATGTATGCATGCACACACACAATATGCGCACACATGCATACACTGTATATATGTATTGACAGTGTGTCTCCTTGTGCATGTGTATGTGTATATATATTCAATAAGATGTATTCTGGATGTAAGGACATTCTGGCTGTGACATCTGTCACTTCACTGTTTGCCAGAGTTGATTCGGCTGATCTGGCTGGCTAGGTGGGTGTCCCCTTCCTCCCTCACCACCTCCTGGGTGTCCCTCCAGAAACTGCACACTTGGTCAAAGACGACCATCCCCAATAAAGGAGGACTGGTCTTCAGTCAAGGGTATACAAGTAGCTGCACTCTTCTGCTAGAACCTCCAGACAAGCTCTCAATAAGATGTATTTGATATTCTTATATTCAGTAAGTTTATATGTAATAATATATCTGTAAAATTTTAATTGTGGTTAAAATGAAGCACAATCTGACAGAAACGACTTCTCAAGAAAATGATATTCTCCAGTTCATGTGCTTACCTGGCTTCTCCAGCTCTCTAGATAAATATATATTCTGGCCTCTTCCCTTTTCTCTCCTTCTATTCTCTCTCCCTTTGCCTCATCATAGCATGAAACTGAAGTATAGATTTAATTTTTTCTATGCTTTATTCAATAAGAATTATATCCCTTGTCATTAATTTTGAAAAATAACTGAATATTTCATGGTACTTTATTTCCCTCAAGAAAAAAAAAAACAAACAAAATTAAACTGCCTTTTATTTGCATCCCTTGATTTATTTCTCTATTGTTCAATGTTCCATAGTCAAGTTAAAACCTTAAATAAAAGTTGACATTGCTTCAGTATGCTGTGGGAAAGAGTTTCATAAACACAGTGAAAACATCAAACAATAAAAATATCATAATATGCCAAAGGGCAATCTTAAACTCCTTTTGTTGGGAAGTCATCTTCTACTCTGAATTGGTGTTAAAAATTATTCACCACGCTACTTATTAATATGACATTTTCAACTAACACTTGACTTTTGCGCATCAGAGTAGATAAAGACATTACTGAAATACTGATTCCTACGCCACACAGCAGAGGAACACTCAGGTTTAAGAGGTCAGGCAGGTACTGCAGTATCAAGTAGTTTCTTAGTTAATGTAGATAGAGGTCCAGCAGCAAAAAACTGGACATACTGCAGGGGAAAAAAGGGTTGCACAGAAATTCATTGATAAAGTCCAGATATTTTAATCACTGCATGTCCAATGTCATAAAAATATTCATCATTCAAATCTTCAAAGATTCACCTATAGCCCTCCAAAATGAAATTAAGCTTATAGCTAATTTACTATGTTATAGTTAATTAACTGAACACATACAATTTAATTATTACTTATAAATAATAGCCTAATGAATGAATAAGAAAAGAATGGGAATTAGGCATATATAAATGCATTACATTCCCAGTATGGCCTAAATATTTGACTAACCCACTTATAAAAACAATCCTACCAGAAGCAAAATGAACCATATTTATTCAACCAGATTGAAACAATTATCTTTTTGTTATAATTGAAGATGCAAACTAAACATGAGGGCTTCAAACCAAGAATTTTTTACTTCCAACTAACAATGCATCTCTTCAAATGTATCAAACTGTCACCAAATAATGAGGTAGACAGACCCAGTTCACACGTACCCAGCCTCGTTTCTTACTGATCTATGCCTCCAAATTTCCATTTCATCATCACACTGAATCATAACCTCAAGCTCTGAAAACACCCATCCCTGCCTATTATGACCCGCAACCCCAAATACTAGTATTTGATAACCCACTTTTCTTTTAGGTGCTTAAGAGCTGATATTAATAGCTCTGTCTCTCATGTGCTCGTATTCTGCAAGGCAAATTTTAACTAAACATCAAAAGACCTGGATTTTAGTTTTGATGTTTCCAGCAGTGAGTCAGGTGGCTTGGAAGCTGTTAAGAAAAAAAAAATGTTGATTTCCCTCAAAATACCCCAGATAATACTAATTCAGCCTACAAAGATACTAGATCTGTTCCCCTACACTCTTCCACTAACACACAGATTTTGAGGCCATTGAGAATGATCATAGGACTGTGGTGAGTGGGAGTGGTTCAGATGCCCGTATCTTCAACAGATGATGCTAGAGAGTTTAGAAAAGGAGAACAATGAGGACTAAAGGTATTAAAACCAGGTGGTCTGAGCCTAGAGTATCAAGGTTTTCACAAGTTATAAGACCATGGGGAGTCATCCAATGAAAGCACCAGTGAGAAACTAGGAAGATATCAATCCCAGCTCCCATACATGAATGGGGTGAGAAAATGGCAGTATCAACTTCTGTTGGAGATAACAGTGAGAACAGTATCAAGTGCAGTCTTGAATTAACATGGGGACACAGAATAGCCAGGGAGGAGTTTGAAAATAATTCAGAGATCAGGAAGTCAGAATTTCTGAGATACAAAAAAGGGATTTGGAGGTAGGGGCTGAGTGAGTAGCTGAGTAAGGGAGAAGAAGCCTAGAGAGGTATGAGAATGACTGTTACAGGAAGAAACGTGGCCAAGAAGATCTGCATTTTAGATGACACACAGGGAAGCAATTGAAGTGGACTCAGTTCTCACAGAATCAGCAGTGGCCCAGAAAGTAGGTCTTAGAATGGAGAACAGATCAGATATGTCGTAGTCTCTCCATTTGCAGGACTACACAGTACAATGACCAATAGAAAGGAAAAGCTTAGAGCTCCATCATGTTGAGTGGCAGCAAAGGGCAGGCAACAGGGACAGGCCATCACCATCCCCAGGTGATGAGCCACACTGGCTCATATGTGCTTCTGAGGGTCAGTGTTAAAGGGAGAGATAATGGACACTCAGACATACTCTTCTGTTCAGAACCATCTCTGGGCCCATGCAGGACTGAATATGTAGTTTATGGGGATTGGGGAAGAGAGGGGCTAATATAAAGTATCTGTAGCTCCGAAGTGACCAGAGCATCATGTCCCTCTTTGAATTGTCAATGGCGCATTCTCAGTGGTTTTTGTTTGTACTTCACTTCCCAGGTTTAACCCAGGAAGAAAGCCAACACTGTGTCCGGATTGAAACAAAGAAACGTGTTTTATTTGTTAAGAAAACAAAAGTGGAACATAGGTGTACCACCAACAAGCTTTCAGAGAAACATGAAGGTAACAGTACCCTCTCTTAGCAGCTTATCCAGTGTGCCCTGAGCCTGGCTGTCATTTACAGACCATATTGGACATGACTATGCTATTTTTAGCTTTTCATTCATTTCATTTCTATGCCTCAGAACCCTGTGTGTTGGGGGAGGAGATGCAAATAAAATACCATTAGCATTACCTAAAAAAGGAAATTGTTAAGGTTTTCTTTATCTCCTACTTAGGTTGCTCAATACATAATTTACTAATTTTACCCATGGACAGAACTCAATATTAGGAATTGTGAAGTGCATATGGGTGTGAAACAGAACCTTACAAGGTAAAGAAACATAAACATCCATTTAAAACACAGATTGACAAAGGTCTAAGAGAGGTATATTTTCTAAAAGGCTATAAGAAGAAAATGGGCAGAAGAAAATCCTGAGATTGAAATACATCAGATTTTGTGAAGAGAATAATTTTGGGCAGAAGAAAACAGGCAGAAGAAAATCCTGAGATCTAAATACATCAGATTTTGTAAAGAGAATTATTTTGGGGCCATGCATTAAAAAATGGCTGAAGACTCTGGCAAATGGAAAGAGTGAGAAAGAAAATCCATGCAAAAATAGAAGATACAAGTTATGTTTTGCAGAATGATCTTACTGCTTCCCAATTTTAGCCACTGCTTTCACTTTCTATCCAAATCTTCAACCCCAATAGGCTTTCACTTTTCTATCCCAATCCCCAACCCAGATATCCCTTCTGAACTCCAGACACCTACTGTCCACTAAACATCTCTACTGGAATGTCTCTAGGTAGCAATGCTTCACGTATTCTCTCGCTGCTGCTGTTGGTTCTTGTTCATATCGAATAGCCTTTACTTTATAGCCTAATAGGACTGTTGTGAAAACTAAGTGACATGATGTTTACAAGGAGCCTTGTAGAGTGACCAGCAGTGGTTGGCTCCTTTCACCTTTCTTCTCCTTCAGCAGTCCCAGCCTTGATAATGGCATCACCATCAACTAAGTCAATCAAGCCAGAAACCTGGCTGTTGTCTTTGATTCTACCCTCTTTCTAGCTTCTATATCTAATAAGTAAGTATGCACAATTCATTCCACCTCCTGAATGTCTCTGCAAGTTGTCTTAATCTTTTTATTTCCATGGATATAAAACTTTCCATGGAAGGCAAACCTTTCATTCATTATTTCCAACCTGGATTATTTCAGAAGCCCCCTAGATGGTCTCCCTGCCTCTAGTCTGGTTTATTCCAGTCTATTCTACACATTTTTATGAGAGGAATCTTCTCTATGGAAAACCTGATTCATGAAACCTTCATACTTGGAACAGGTCATGGTTCCATTTGGCCTTAAGCGTAAGTTCCTGTCCTTCTCTGCATAGCTAAACTTCATGCAGCCTCCTAAACAAGTCAGGCTCTCTCCTATGCCTTGCCATTATAAATAACTCCTTCCTCTCAGTAAAATTCTATTTCCTTATTTTGCCTGACTGCTCAGATTAAAAGGAAGCAGAATCACATAAATTCCCAAATTTGAAGCCTACCTTCTCATGGGGAAAACACACATACACAAAAAAAAACAATAAATAAATAATAAAATATAATATTTACTATAATAATAAATAATTTTAAATACAGTATCAGAAAAGATAGATGGTCTACATATACATGATATTGTTATGCACAAGCCAAATGAAAGAACTAGCTTGACAACTGCACAAAAAAAGAAAAAGAGGGCAAAAAGGCATATAGCATGCAAAACAAATAATCTGGCAATATTAACCAAAATATGAATTCAGATTCTATATCAGCTTATCATGCAGTAGAATAATTTAATGAGTATGAGTTCAATAAATCAAGAACTCAGAGATAAAATGGTTTAATATAAGAATTAATTAAGGATGATCCAAGATGGTTGAACAGGAACAGCTCTGGATTGCAGTTTCCAGCAAAAATGCAGAGGGTGAGTGATCACTGCATTTCCAAAATAAATTTTACTGCCCACAGACCAGGAGATTCCTGGGCAAAAAGTACCATGTGTCTCCAGTGCGGCTGTTTCAGCCAGCATAGCGGGTCCCCATACAAAAACTCACACAAATCTGGGTGCCATTTCAATTGTCACCTGGAATGCCTGGGAGACAGAATCGCCGTTCAACTGAAAAAAAAGTGGGGGCTGAAACAGGGAGCCACCTCCACAAAGAACAGCAATCTGAAATGCTCTAGATTGAGAGTTTCACAGCAAATACAGCTGGACCTGGGATGGTCCAGATCTGTGGGGGGAAGGGCGCCTGCCATTACTGAGGCAGTTCACCACTACCAGGCAGTCTGCCATTACTGAGGCAGTCCACCATTATCAAGGCAGTCCACCATTACCCAGGCAGTCTGCCATTAACGAGGCAGTCTGCCATTACAGAGGCAGTCCACCATTACTGAGGCAGACTGTGATTACCAAGGTAGTTCTAACTATACCCCTATAAACAAAACTGAAAGAAAGTTCACACAGCAGCTGGGCAGAGCCCACAACAGCTCAGCAACACCTCTGCTGGAAGACTGTGACTAGGCTACCTCCTTGCTGTGCAGGGCATCTCTGAAAAAAGGCAGAAGCATGACAGGAACTTACAAATAAAGCCCCACATTCCCAGTACAGAGCTCCTGGGGGAAAAAAAGGCAGTTATGAGTTCCACTGCAGCAGACTTAAATGTATCTGCCCAGCAGCTCTGAACAGAACAATGGCGCTCACAGCTCAGGACTTGAGCTCCTATAAGGGACAGACTCTCTCCTCAAGCAGTTCCCCAACCCCTGTATATCCAGAGACACCTCATAAAGGAGAGCTCAGGCTGATATCTGGTGGGTATCCTTCTGGGACGAAGATAACAGAAGAAGAAACTGGCAGAAACCCTTACTGTTCTGCAGCTGCTGAGGGTGACCCCCAGGCAGGCAAGGTCTGGAGTGGACCTCCAGCAGTCCTACAGCAGAAGGGCCTGTTAGAAGAAAAACTAAGACACAGAAAGAAATAACTTCATCATCAACCAAAAGGATGTCCAGAGATCCCATCTGAAAGCCACCAACCACAAAGATGGGAAGAAACCAGTGCAAAAAGGATGAAAGCAAAACCAGAACACCTCTCCTCCTCCAAGGGATCACATCTCCTCACCAGCAAGGGAATAAGGCTGGTTGGATAATGAGTCTGATGAATTAACAGAAACAGGCTTCAGAAGGTGGGTAATAACAACCTTCTCTGAGCTAAAAGAACCTGTTCTAACACAATGCAAAGAAACTAAGAACTTTGAAAAAAGGTTTGACAAAATGCTAATGAGAATAAACAACTTAGAGAGGAATATAAATGAATTGATGGAGATAAAAAACACAACATGACAACTTCACCAAGGATACACAAGTTTCAATAGCTGAATCAACAAAACAGAAGAAAGGATATCAGAGATTGAAGATCAACTCAATGAAATAAAATGAGAAGGCAAGATTAGAAAAAAAAAAAAGGAGTAAAAAGAAATAAACAAAGTCTTCAAGAAATATGGGACTATGTGAAAAGACCTAATCTACTTTCAATAGGTATACTTGAATGTGATAGAGAGAATGAATCCAAGATGGAAAACACTCTTCAGGATATTATCCAGGAAAACTTCCCCAGCCTGGCAAGGCAGGCCAATATTCAAGTCCAGGAAATACAGAGAACAGCACAAAGATATTCCTCAAGAAGAGCAACCCCAAGGCACATAATCATTAGATTCACTAGGGTTGAAATGAAGGAAAAAATACCAAAGGCAGCCAGAGGAAAAAGGTCAGATTATTAGACCCATATCCTTTGAATCTTCCTCACAAAGAGGCCATGCCCTTTTTTGTCTACCGCTCTTTCTCAAGACTCCCTTACCTTCTTGAGGCTTTAGGAAACCCCTGCCAGTTTCCTGCACATCACAGTGAAATGTGAGGGCCTTGAGACTACCACAGGAACCAGTTGTTTGGGTGGCCATGTTGGATATAAAAGATTCTCTCTAAGGCTTGCCGTTCCCATTCTACTACTTGAGAAGATTAAATGTACATAAGGGGACTTCAAAAAGTTCACAGGGAACTGGAATTTAAAATATAAAATATAAACTTTATTTATGAACATAAATTTCATAAAGCTCAAGACACATTTGTTAGTGATGATACCAGCCATCTAGTCCATCCTCAAAGAACTGAGGGTCCTAGGAATTTAATGGTGTCAATTCATGTTAATAACTGAAAAAAATGGATGCCTCTAAAAGATATTTTTAAGATTAGAAAACAAAAAGAAGTCAGAAGGCGTTAAAGAAGGACTGCAAGGTGGATATCTAATAATTTCCCATCTAAACTCTCACAAAATTGCCCTTGTTTGATTAGAGGAATGAGTAGGAACATTATCACAGTAGAGAAGGACTCTCTGATAAAGCTTTCCTGGGCATTTTTCTGCTAAAAATTTGGCTGTCTCAAAACACTCTCAATAAGAAGATGTTATTATTCTTTGACCCTTCAGAAAATTAACAAGCAGAATGCCTTGAGCATCCCACAAAACATTTCCATGACCTTTGCTCTTGACTAGGCTAATTTTGCTTTGGCTGGCCCACTTCCACCTCCTGGTAGCCATTACTTTGCTTGTACTTTGCCTTCAGGACCATAATGGTAAATCCATTTTTCATCTCCTGTGTACATTTCTTTTTTAAAAAATGCTTCAGGATCTGATCCTACATGTTTAAAATTTTTATTGAAAGCTCTGCTCTTGTGTGCAGCTGATCTGGGCACAATAGTTTCAGCAACCATTGAGTGGAAAGTTTGCTCATCTTTAATTTTTCAGATTGTGTAAACTGAACTAATTGAGATTTCCACAGTGTTGGCTATTGTTTGCACTGTTAATCATCACTCCTCTTCAATTAGGGCATGAACAAGGTAAATTTTTCCTTACAAATTCATGTAGATGGTCTACTGCTAGGAGTTTTCTCTTCAAAAATTATTTCTTCCCTTCCTACAATGCATTATGACT